ATATATTTTTAACTTAAAAATTGCGTCTTCGATAGACTGAAATTTAAATATCCCTATCAGGTTCCTCAAACAAAGGGTTTTGAATAGGGGCGAAAAGGATTTACTTAGCACTAACTTGCTATCCTTTCCCGGCTATCTTCTACTGCTGGCCTCTGGATGAAATCGTCTGGATTCGTGGTAGCACTTAAGGGTTAAAACCGCAAGTATCGTTTCGATTCACTTCCGACTGGATACTGTGCTATCCTACCGACTGCGCCAAATATGTTTATTTTATAGATAGACTATTTTTTTAAAACAATTTATTTAAAATAACTTTACAGACGTTCTATCATCGACAGAGTTTTGTGGAAAAAAGCGTTAACATAGTGAATTGTCTCAGTTTTATAGTTAATCAGGAATTTATGTATGGCGGAACCTAGTCAGCGGTTTCTGTGGGAACTGCTGCTTACTAGGCAGGTTCTGTGTGAACTTGATGGTGTAACTCGCGCGTGCCGACATGGCGTTTAATGTTTGAATAAAAAATTGGTGCACCACCAAACAATTAATTTTCACTTTGAATCCTTAGTCAAATTCAGGGGGAAAAGGTTTCTTGACTTGAGTTTTCTTCGTACAGCGCATGATTTTCAAGTAAAAAACATAAAAATGGTTTTAATGCACGTCGTAGACATGACGTTCAAAATTTTTGAAGAAAAATATGGTACGCCACTAATAAATGAAAAATTTTTATTTCAGCTTTTATTGCTTGTTCAATTTCAAGCTAAAACGCATTTTTTAGTTTTCTTCGTACAGCGCATAATTTTCGAGTAAAAAACATAAAAATTGGGTTAATGCACGTCCTAGACATCAACATTTTTGAAGAAAAAAATAGTACGGCACTGATGGATGGAAAATATCATTTCTGCCTTTATTGCTTAGTCAATTTCAAGCAAAAAAGCACTCTTGAGTTTTCTTCGTACAGCTCATGATGTTCGAGAAAACCATAAAATTCGTATTAATGCACGTCTTAGACATGATGTTCGATATTTTTCAAGAAAAAAAGAGGACGACACTGATTTATTAAAAAGTTACGTTCAAATTTCCATTGCTTAGTTAATTTCAAGCAAAATAGCTCTCTCTAGTTTTCTTCACAACAAAACAAAAGAAAATTAAAGCATCTTTGAGACACTACGTTCAATATTTTTGAAGGAAGAAATGGTGCTCGACTGATTAATCAAAAACCAAATTTTACCTTTCTATTGCTTCGTCAATTTTAAGCAGAAAAGCTCTCTTGACTCTTCCTCGTACAATGCGTGATTTTCGAGTACAGAAAAATAAAATTCGTATTAATGCACGCTTTAAGGTGCGTCCAGACCTGACAAGCCGAGCGTGAGCCGAGCCTGAGTCGCGGCAAAAAACCGACAAAAAATAAAATGGTTGTCTGTCGCCGTTTCGACGAAATATTAAAAAAACTTTCAAGCGGTTCAGGCTCGGCTTGGGCTCGACTCGGGCTCGGCTCGTCAGTTCTGGACGCACTATTAGATTCTTTTATACAGGGGTCGGCGCTCGAGATGTTACCAATTTTACGGTGCTGTAGCAACCAAACAGCAAATGACAGCGCCATAATTTTTTGACAAGCGTTAGTGTGCTATAGTTTTTACAAGTCTACGGAAACTTTTTTACCTCGCAGTTTAAAAAAAGTTATCGAAATGCTGTATGGCTCGGAAATCGCAACGAACCATTGTTAAAGAACTACGACATTTACATGTGAATAAAATGTTTGTGTATCGGAGTATTACACGTTACAATGATACTGGTAGCATCAAAAAACGCCATGGGGGTGGACATACAAAAACAGCAAGATCGCGAGAAATGATTCGAAAGGTGAAGGCTAGAATCCTGCGCAATCCACGATAAAGCCCAGTGAAATTAGCGAAAAGTATCAATATGTCTGCTCGAAGCATGGGGCGAATATTAAAAAAAGAACTACGATTGAAGCCCTACAAAATATAACAAGTTCAATATTTAACACCTGCACAAAAGGCAATTCGCCTCGCAAAAGAGCAAAGGTGTTAAAACACTTGCACGTTAATGGTGAGATTCAAAATGTTTATGATGAAAAAATGTTTACGGTTCAGCAATATTTTAACAAGCAAAATGATCGTATTTGGTTAGAGCACAAATCAAGGGACAATTTAGAGCAGCGAATTGCTCTGCGAAAGCAAGGGTTTTGGTCGCCAAATGGTTTTGGCCGCGGTAACTGCCACAGGACGCTCACAAACTGTTTTTATTGAACAGGCCGTAAAGATAAATCAACATGTCTACCGTGAAAAGATTATAAACGATGCTTTGCTTCCTTGGGCAAGTAGACAATTCGGTCGAACCCATTGGACGTTTAAACAAGACTCACCAAACCAAAAAAACACCAACACCAGCACCGTCCCAAAAAGCCTGTAAAACCCAACTTTTTTTTCAAGAAAAGTTTCCCTGGTTCATTTCTGCACAACAATGACCACCATATTCTCCCGACTTAAACCCAATGGATTTTTTCATATGGTCCATTCTGGAGGACAAAGTATCTGCAAAAAATTATGAAACGCTCGACTCCTTAAAGATTGCTCTTCTCCATGAATGAGGTAAAATACCATCAGACCACAGTCGTGCAGCCTGTAAAACGTTCCCGGACAGACTAGATGCTGTTATACGCGCTAAAGGTGACTACATCGAATATTTAAGTTTTCTAATAAACGAAAATTAAAATTATGTATTTTAAATGGTAACACTTCGAGTGCCGACCCCTGTATTATGTTGCGCCCCAAATACGAATTCCATATAAAAGATTGGGCAACTGTTTCGTATACAGGGTGTGTTAGAACTATGGGGTCAACCCTTTAAGGAGTGTTTAGGGAATTTGAGTATATGGAAAATGTCTTCGAAAGGCGATACGGCCTGGTGACGCTTTTAGACCGTTTTGTGCAAAACATGTTTTATCGAGTTAAATTATAATAAAAAACTATTTGCACGCCAATTTTCAAGCAAAAGACAAACTTTCAGTTGAACCTAACCAGAACTTTGAATTTGAGCCGTTCTCAAAAATTTCTCACGTCCAAACTGAATGCTTAAAAAATTGTCCAGTTCTAAACAAAGCCAGTGAAATGCTATTGCAGTTAGAAATGGCGCAGATTTTAATCAAACGGCTGTACATACAGGCTGATTTTCCACCAAAAGCAAATTTTCAGTTCAGTGTGACGAATACTTTCATGCTGAGGCATTTTCAAACAAAGTTCAACCTGTAGCAGGCAGCAAAATTGATCTTTAGGCGCGTGTATTCAACATACTTCACTCTGCCCGAGTGCTAAGTTGCAATCTATCTGAGTCTAGGCCGGTTTTTCAAAAATCCCTAAACTTGTCAAGGTGAAACTGGCCAAAGCCTGCAAGTCGACACACTCACTTTAGAAAATCATTGACTCCTACGGCAAAGAAGACACTGGCTTTTCCGGCCGTAAGTAGCAGATAATTGGCTGTTCAATCCGAGAGACTTTCAAGGAATTTGCGGTTCAAGGTCATTTTTCCGAAAGTCACAAACTTTGCCTGAATGTGGAAACCCCCTTTACTCTGCCTGAAAGACTTTGATCCCAATTTAAATTGTTCCAAAGGTTCTGCTGAATAACAAAGTAACATATAAATAATAGACTGCATCCAAATTTCCGAAATGCTCACCCTCGATTTAAATCGTCAACACTTTAGGGCAGGCTAATAGGCGATAATTGACAATTTAGATAGGAAATCGGCATGGTTGGCACCTTTTCTCAGCTATTTGGCACATGGGAAAGCATTTTTACACGCACTAAAGTGAAAGATCCCAAAAATAATTCAATAATTGGCGGTTTGAAAGTGTTTTTAGCTGTGCCCATTATCATGGGGTGTAATTTGGGGCGCAAGTTAATTTCTGGTAAACTATTGATTTTTGGATTATTCGATAATAATTGTCTGGCAGTTTTTAAATTGCTTTTAAATTCGTCCCGACTGTAATCTTGCACTCTCCGGGCATTATGGCCGGGCCGATCGGAGGTCAATTAACAATTTCTCCATGTCTTTGGCCACGATCACTAATCATCATTATCCTCGTCTAATGTGAATCAAACCGGAAAATAGTCGACTTGATGAATGGATTATCGATTCGTTCTTGCTCTATTGTGTTCAGTTTTTCCCATTCAACACCCTTAGCATGTGTCTAATTTTGAAAATAGGAATCTAGTTGATGTTAACGATGTTCTCGTTAGTAGGTATCTTACTCCCGGAATGGACAATGGAAGATCAGATTCATTAAAGCCAACATCAAGCCGTGCCAGTTTATCAAGCTCAATTACTTTAATTGCGATAGTGCCCGATCGATCGCATTGATATGGGAAATCTCTTAATTTGCGCCAAAGCGGCTTTTTTGGGTTGATTGTGCAAGGGAATTTAATTAACTCGCCAATGACAAGGAAATCCTTCAAGTTTGGATTTGTTCTTTCACCTGAATAGCTTTTAAAATTCGGCTCATGGTTCATCAGTTTGACCAGAAAATTGCCCAGAAAGGAGGATTTTGAATGCGAATTCCAATGCTTATTGCACTGAATATGAGTTTTCAACATTACAACATTTTTTGTGCTGATACTTCACAATACCGAACGGAATTTTTATCAAAAGCTTATGGTTCAGAAGAATTTGCTCCTTATTGTGAAATGTGTGCACTCGATCGCCATGTAAGAAAATGCTGCGTTTTTAAGACAACATTTTTCATGCAAAATACCCAACCAAATTGTTTTGAAATCACGAATGCGCCTCAACCAGATAGAACTCATGCGTGGCTTAACTCGACATTTCAAGTACAAAGTGAAGGTTTAGAATCGATGTGGGAACTTCGCAAAAAATTCCCATCACCAGTCCGAAAAAGCCGGCTAAATGCAAATCAAATTGCGATTCCATCGCACATTTTATGAAGTTGAGCGCACATGTGAACGTAAAAGCTCATCAGAGATCGCTCTACTTTATACCCATCTCCGCTCTTAATTAAAGCTAACATCGCATCGATTTCGAGATTGTGCAGCAAATGCCCGTTTTTCACTCGTTTGTATGTAAATTTCCTGCTCAGTTAGCAACTTAATTCGCGCAAAGTTCATGTTTCTGGCACCGGTACAACTTGCGCTTTTTTATCGGCGTCATTTGAGGGTCTTTGACGTTCTGGGGCTGAAAGCTCCTAATAAAGTAATTACGTTTACTGTGAACATGCCTAATCTGGGTTGGAATCTTCGAATAAATCCATTATATTAAAATGGGCCGGGCATTGAAATGGGCTTCCAATAAATAAACATTGGTTTTCCTCAGTTAAATAAAGGCTGATTATTCAGTGCATTATTCCCACAGGTCTGGCCAGATCCGACTTTGGCTAGTTTCATTGACTCAGAGGATGGTTAGTTGTTAAGGCCTTTGTGTTGGTACAGCCCTGAACTGACCGTGGCCATCCAGTTCACGTTATAAATAACGCAATCATGATTAGATTTTCCTAATAGCGACCCTCTAACAACGAAGGGGTAGGTTTACCTTAATTGGACGCGATGGGTTTCATGCCCTTATTGTTAATTTCTCCATTCGATTCATATCGCAGCCGATCAATCTACATGGGGATGGGCTTAGTGGGATTGCTGGAGATTTCCTTCAGGTTAACCTGCAAGTTCGGTCTTTTTCTTGCGCAATAAGATAAATCAACTTAAACCCAAGTAGCCGAGCTACTGAAGACGGCCAACACAAAACGAACGAATAATTTCACACTCATCAATCTTAACCAGATAATCTGTGGTAAATCTTCGCCGAGCTTCTTTATCAAGCAACAGTAAGAGTTATCGATATGGCACTCGAATGCCCGACTAATTTAGCCATTGAAGCAGCCCTAATCCATTAGCTACCATTGTCACTGCGTCATCATACACCGTCTAGTATATTGGATTACGACCGCATAATACATCATCAAACAGAATTAGAAAAACGCGCCGATCGTCTAAGCGGTTAAACGGGCTCTTTCCAATGCCGACGATGATTTCTTCTTCTTGTTTTTTGTGTCTAGTCATCCGAGGAATTGTGGACTTCACCAATGTCCTTCCAAGTGCTCAACATGGAAGCTTGAGAATGTTTCCAATGTCTCTTGTCTTCTTGAATGCATATTCTATAGATTTATTTTCGTTTTTCGATTACAGATTAGCTGATCGGTTGCTTTTCATCATTTATTTTACCTTTTAAAATCCCTGAAGAAGATACTCAAAGATCTGGTCATCTCCAGTGCTCCAACCTTCCAATCGAGAATCCAAAATGTTTCTGCGCGGTTCTGACATCTAATTATTTCATCATGATTCTGAAGCCAGAAAATATTTTATATATATAAACAATCTTCATTTCCTACAGAAAAAGGCTATCGGCCCAATCGGTCTTTCTGCCCTATTTTATATATTAATTCCAAATATTGGTTTTCATTCACATTGCAGAGAAAAAATATCGGTGCAAGAACTCAGCCAACAGCCCACAGGTCAACTGAATGTTCTATTTCCCAAACCCCTTTGGTATTTTCAGCCGACCAAGAATGCACCTTTTTCCGTGAAAAATGCTTTAGATTGAAAATGAAGAAGTTGTGAATGCAAAATTTTTCGGCCATTGGTTCCAACTTCTTCCGGCTCAAGTGCCTTTTAAAGTGCATTTTAACCCTTACTCCAGACGTATAAATACGCCGAAGTCTTAACTGCTCTAGACGTATATTTACGCAAGCAATTTCAGTCACATTATTGTGTTTTTTTCAGGTTATGTGTCCTCATTAAGGACTTACAATGCCTTATAGAGTTTATTTAGAGACAACTTGAAGCTTCAAATTTTTCCATGCAGTCAATGCCGTATACGTATTTATACGGGCGTGAAGAATTTAAACTTATGGGCCGTATCGGCTATTCTGGCACCAGTTATTCTTCCGCCTTATCTGCAGGTGGTTGCGTAGGGTAGTTTATCTCAGTGCGATCCTGTTTACCGCAAAATAAGGCTAAATACTTTCCGCTCCACTAGACGTACTTATACGCATCAACATGTTACTGCTCCAAACGTAGATATACGCTGGCTCTTATTTTAGCCGCACACAGTTGGCGAATTCTAAATTGCTGTTAGCAGTGCAAGGCCAAAGTTGGGGAAAATTCAAGTTGCTACTTGCTTTAGTTTGAAAGAAGCAGCAAAAATAAATATTTTGGGCGATTGTTGTAAAACTTCTAATATCTTCCAGTCTGTTCAAAAAATTGTTTTTAATCTTGCCACAAACGGTCCATGATTTTCAAACGAAATAAAAACAAGCTACTTGTTTTGCTTCATTTATTGAGTTAATTTATCATTTTTTTAAAGTTCTCGGTATCTTGGAAGACACCGACGGTTTGTCCGTGGTGGAGAGAAGTTTTGCCAAGTGGATCAGACACATAATGAATTTTTGCATTGAATTCAGATGCGAATATGACCTAAAGGAGAAATCATCCTATCTACAAGCAGGAGCAGAATATCTAGCATTTCATTTGCATGCTTTTGGGTCCTTGGCAAAGAAGTTTTCTTACACTTGAATGTAGCTTCAGTGGAAAATGTATGATATATTCGAGCAAAAGTTTATAAACGAGATTTTGCTTTTCAATCATTCTTTCATATTCTCCCTTAGCTGTATTTTTGTTGTATTCATTTTTAATATATATTTGATGTACAGAGTGTCGTATGCACATGATTTCATGGTTGCAAGAAA